TTTTTTTTGTTTTCCTTGTCGTCGCCATAAGTTACCGATTCTATATTGTGTGTTGCGTCATAATGTTTGTGATAGGAGGTGAGAGGGTTCTGGAGGCTCGGGAGGGAGGGGGCGGGGGATGGGGAGAGGGAGGGGAGGGAGGGGTGGTGGTGCGCCGCCGGCTGCTCCGGACTCGGAGGCTGCGAGGCGGCGGAAGGAGGCGAATAAGGGGAGTCGGGCGAACCATAACCGGCGGGACCAGCGGGCGAGGAAGATGGCCAGGGGTGGGTTTGCTAGGGTGAGGGGCGAAAAAAGTCACATGGGGTAAGGGGCCCGGTTATGGAGACGGGGGGTGGGAAGTGTTGGTAGTGAGCATAGCCAATGCAGCTGTCTTGCATTTAGATTTGAGATGCCATCCCGCTAGAGCCATGAAATTCACAAAATACTCCCAAATATCCCAGCGCCAAAACCATGCTCGATAGTCTACAACCACTCTCGCCCCCCAACATCGTCCCTCGCTAATCTCCAACATCACACGCCGCAACCCTCTAAAAAATCCCCACGCACAGAACTCTCTCTTCGGCGGCACCTCCGGCATGATCCCTCCCGCAAACTTCCCCGTGTCCACAAAGGCCTTCCACTGCTGCATGACGGTCGGGTCCTGGTACTTTTCGGGCTCGGCCTCGGTCTGCGTCGTATAGGCGGGGGCGCCGTTGGGCATCCAGATGCGGACCATGCTCCCGTCGAAATTGCGCAGCACCGGCACCGGCCGCGTCCCGGGCTTCAGCTCCTCGTAGAGCACGGGCTTGCCCTTAAACATGCGCAGCGTCTTATCCGGGTTCTGCGCGGCGTACGTGGATAGGTCGGGGTGTTGGCGCGTGGCGTCTGGGCCGTACGGCCCCGTGCCGTTGGCCCCGGCTGGTCCGGGCGCGGGCGCCGACGTGCTAGGTTGGCTGAAGGGGTTGGGCGCTGGAGCGGCCGCGGAGGTGGTGGCGGCTGGTGTGCTAAATGGCGAGGACGTAGCCGGTTGCCCGAAGGGATTAGCGGGGGCGGCCGTCGCGGCCGGTGCTCCAAACGGGTTGGTAGCTGGCTGTTGCTGCTGCGGCTGTTGTTGCTGCGGAGGCTGACCGAAGGGGTTCGCCGGGGCAGTCGCTGGTTGCCCGAATGGGTTTGCGGCTGCGGGTTGTGCGGCCGGTTGCCCGAACGGGTTGGCCGCAGGCTGGTTGTTCGCGGTTTGGCCAAACGGGAGAGATGTGCTTTGGGTTTGCTGCGGCTGCTGTGCTGGCTGACCGAACGGGCTGTTGGTCGGAGCCGATTGTGAGGCGGAAGAGAAAGCCCCTCCTCCCCCTGCCGCGGCTCCGAAGGGGTTAGGCTTCGCCCCGAGTGCTGCTGGCTGTCCGAATCCCGACTGGCCAAAAGCCGGGGCAGAAGTTTGCGTCGGCGCTCCAAACGGATTGGGCTTTGCTCCTAATGTCGCGGTCTGGCCGAAGGCGCTCGTCGGTTGGGTAGACCCCCCAAAAGGGGTTGATCCTCCCAAGGCGGCCGGCTGCCCGAATGCTGGCGCCGCAGGCTGCCCAAATCCCGATGCTGCTGGCTGTGTGTGTTGACCAAAAGCAGGGGCGGGCGCAGGGGTCCCAAACGGATTGGGCTTCTGGCCCAGGGCGGCAGGTTGGCCAAAAGCGCCGCCGGTGGTTGCCGGGGTAGCTGGTGCTCCGAATGGGTTTGCCGGCGGGGCTGGCTGTTGAAAGGCGTTTGTCGAGCCCCCAAATGCGCCGCCAGTGGTAGAATCCCCCTCCGCCCCCTTACATACGTCTATCCGGTTAGGGTGGTTTTTCCCCGCCTCGACGATATACTGTATCGCCATCGGTACGTTGCTGAGGGTGTGTTGAATCTGTTGCTGGGCATTTTGGTGCAGCATTTGGATGTCGTTGAGCTATAGGGCGTTAGCAGCTGTCCGCAGGGACTCCGAACGGCGAGCAACCCACGGCGCCCTGGAGGTTCCCAGCCATGGCCCCCATCATGAAGTGTAAGCGGATCTCCTCAACGCTTTGTTCCCGGGGATAGCCACCCCAGAGCTGCTCGGGCGCATCCTTCCCCGGGCTGTAACACGACAGATCCATCCCGGCAACTCGTTCTTCAGATCCCGCTCAATTGCCTCGACTGTTAACCGGGGTACGGCGGCGTTCTAACTGGCGATCCGTTACATGCGCGGCGGGAGCTGTGAATGCCACACGTACCCGCAGGTCGCCCACTCATCCCTTGGTTCGATTGTCCGGAAAGTGGCCCGAAACGGTTGTTGTTGTAGTTCTGTTGCCCTCCCTTTGGAGGGTGCTCGAATTTACAGGCATCTGGAGTTCGAAGGCAGAAACAGTCAGCTCGGTGCTCCGTTGGGCATGATCTTATCGACGCGATGCGGAATTGGTCGTGGCCATGGCGGGATTTGATAGGCAGACGGCGACGCATCGGTTCCCATGGCCGTTCCCATTGGCGACAGGCCTATCTTCAGTCTTCTGTTGGGGGGCCAAGGAAAAGGAAAAGGAAAAGGAAAAGGCAACCTTCGTACTTCCGGAACGGCAGTAGCCCTGCTGGTAAAACCGGCAGACCGTCATATTGGCTTGTTTTGGCGGGCGATGTTATTGTTGTTGTGTGAAGCTGCAAGGCAGCATGCCGTGTTCTGGTCGCGACCAACAATCGCCACGGAGGTTTGCCTTTGGTTTTCGGCCTTTCAGCCTTGCAGGACAGCCACAGGCTGAGCCACAGGTTGGTTCCAATCGAGATCGACACAAGGGATAAGTGGCTGGTAGGACCCACTTGCCGCATCGAGTCCCTGGCACAATGAACGCCGTGGCATGCCGAACCTGCCCGGGAATGCTTGGTCTTGTGTCTGACGTGTTTGTTTTTTGAAGATCTGTCGCGTCAAAGTTCAATGAACAGTACCCAGTTATGGCCTGTGAGCCTGTTAGCAGAACAAATCGCTAACTATTCGACGTTACGATTCTCGGCACGATCCTCTTCTTCCTCTCTACACAGTACCTCGACGCTCTTTCACCCTCGCGGGCCGGCATCTTCCTCTCTCATCGCCAACTGACAATTGAGCCAAGGCATTCTCACCCCGGCTCCCCAGTGACCGACTCCAGCTTTTTTACATCCGGGGTTCCATCTGCCCCTCCCTTTTATGGGGTTTGGTCAAGTCACGACCCTCCGGCCCGCCCAGAGCCGCTTGTCCCCGAGCCGCACCCCTTTCCGCCCTTTCCGCACAATCGCTTTTCCAATGGAGCATTTTGTATTGTCATCGATTGGAGAACGAAGTCTGAGTAATCCCGAAGTATGGCTGTAAGACCCGAAACGGCAAACCTCGACATCATGTGGCGGGCAGCTCGGCCATCGATAAGCCGATAAGGAATGCGATGTCACCGTTGTGCCGCGGAAAGCCGAGCTCTTCTGCAACAAGTGCACCGAGGAAAGGGCAGGAGGTCTCGAGATCAAGGCAATTGCCCAATAACCGTTACGAAGTTGGCTTTAACATCCATGGCGCATCACAGTCTCGGGCTCGGGCTCAAGCCGTTCACCTGGACAGTGCTGGCCCCTGGTTGCATTGCGTAACGTACCCGGTAATCGTGAACATGATCCTGACCGTACTTCCTTAAAATGAGCTCTCCTCCTTCCTTTACCTCTCCCAGCCGAACTAAATTGCATCGTCATTTTCGACTTTAAATAGTCTGTTAATTTCAAGATGTCGTTCAACGCAGCTCATCTCCAGGTCTGGCTGGGGTTGTTAGCGGCCTCGGGCATCCTCTACACAACATGTCTCGTTGTCTACCGCCTTTTCTTTCATCCGCTGGCCAAATACCCAGGTCCTCTCCTAGCGAAACTCACCGATGCATACATGCTCTACTATGCCTGGAGGGGTGACCGCCACTTGGAGTTTTGGCGTATGCACGAGCGATACGGGAAATTTGTCCGCTTTGGACCCAACTCGCTCTCCATCAACTCCAACACGGCTTTGAAGGAAATCTACGGCTTCCGGGCCAACGTACGCAAGGCCGAGTTCTACGATGCCTTTGTGCACCCGGCACCCAACACCCACAACGCCCGGGACAAGGACCTGCACGCCCGCAAGCGTCGTGTCTTGTCACACGCCTTCTCCGACGGTGCTATCAAGGAAGTCGAACGATACATCCTGGGCAACATCCGAACCTTCTGCGAGGGCCTTGGCGACTATGGGCGTGTCAACCACGAGAACAAGGGATGGAGCTCGCCCAAGAACATGTCGGACTGGTGCAACTGGCTCGCCATGGATATACTGGGCGATCTCTGCTTCGGTAAAGCCTTTCACATGCTCGACCGACCGGACAACCGGTACGCCGTCGACCTAGTCGGCATCGCAGCCCAGCGTCATCTTCTGGTAAGCACCCACCACGAACCATAACAAACAAAACCGTTCAACACAAACTAACCAACCCCTCCACAGTGCGGCACCATGCCCATAATCAACAAACTCAGCCTCGACAAGATCCTCTTCCACAAAATCTCCGCCGGCCGCGCCAAATACATGGCCTACAGCCGGCAACAACTCACCGAACGCACCGCCCTCGGCGACGAAACCGACCGCCGCGACTTCTTCTACCACCTGCTCAAAGCGCGCGACCCCGAAACCGGCCAGGGGTTCAGCACGCCCGAACTCTGGGGCGAGTCCAACCTGCTCATCATCGCCGGCTCCGACACCACCTCCACCGCCATGGCCGCAACCCTCTTCTACCTGGTCCGCAACCCGGCCACGCTGCACCGCGCCACCGCCGAAGTCCGCGCCGCCTTCCACTCCGTCGAGGATATCCACCAGGGCGCCCCCCTCAACAACTGCACCTACCTCCGCGCCTGCATCGACGAGGCCATGCGCCTCTCCCCCTCCGTCGGCGGCCTCCTCCCCCGCGAGGTCCTCCAGGGCGGGATCACCGTCGACGGCGAGCTGCTGCCACAGGGCACGGTGCTGGGCGTGCCGCACTATGCCATCCATCACAACCCGGCGTATTTTGCGGAGCCGTTCCGGTTTGTTCCCGAGCGCTGGCTTGCTGGTGGTGAGGGTGATGAGAAGGCGCTGGCGAGGGTGGCGCTGGGCGCAGAGCGCGTTCTGTCCGTTTTCGATCGGCCCGCGCGGGTGTATTGGGAAAGGGTTGGGCGTATGTGGAGATGGGGATTGCGCTGGCGAGGATGCTGTTTATGTATGATTTGCGGGCGGCGAGGGGGGCGAGGCAGGGGGAGGGGGGCATGCCCGGGGCGGAGTGGGGGAGGGAGAAGGTGGGCGAGTTTCAGTTGAGGGATACGTTTACGAGTTTGAAGGATGGGCCGGTGGTGGAGTTTGCGAAGAGGAGTACTTAAAGTGTAAGTGAGTTGTAATGGGAGGGGGGCAGAGGGCGGTGGGTAGGGTGCTGTGGTATGGTAGGGGAAGGGCGAGTGTAAGATGGGGAGTGGGATTGAACGTCGTTGACACTTTGGTGTGTAAGCCGGGGGAAGGAGACTGACACTTTTGGCGTATTGAGTTTTTGAGAAGCATATATTCCACGTGTCTGTAGCGGAAAAATCATGACCTTGACGATTCATCCCTCCTGTTCATGATTGTGAGGCGTTACGGTCAAGTCACAGCATCAGGATATCGCACAACACATTTTGGCAAAAGAAGGCCCGCCCTCTTCGGTATTGCTCGAGCAAGATCTAGCTACCACTTTCAAGCAGTCACACTACACCCCACCAGCAACACCCCCGGCCATCTATGACCATCCCAGCCCCTGCCCTCGGCCACTGCCCCCGAGCCACAGCCTCCCGAGCCGCAGCCACCAGGACGATAGGCTCTGCTTGGTCCAGCCGCGCCCAAACCCACTCACGCTATCCCACGCCACCCCTCTACTTCTGAACGACAACCTTCTTCTTGGCGCCGCCGCCGGACGGGGGGGGCTTCTTGTTGTTGTTGTTATCCTTGCTGCCGCCGCCCTTCTTGCGGTGGCGGTTGGCGTTGCGCTTGGACTGAAGCGCCGTGATCTGGGTGCGGGTCATGGCGTCGCGGTAGTAGAACTGGTTGTTTCCGTCGCCGGGCCGGAAGTGCAGCAGGTGAGAGCTGCCGTCGTTGGCCTGCAGCGTCGAGTTGGACAGCTGGACCGAGTAGTGGTCCGTCAGGTTGGTGTCGGTGCTCTTGGACTTGTGCAGGGACTCGCTGTCTCGGGTTGTTAGAAAGGCTTGGTTGTGAGGCATGGGCAAAGGGGGGCTGGGGCTCCATACGTGACGATCACCGAGGTGATGCGAACGCCCTGGTTCGCGGAGTTGACGATGACGTTGTTATGCGCCATGAGGTACTGGACGAGCGCATCCCGGTCGGCCTGGGGCATCACGGCGCCGGCGGCAACGCGGACGCGGAGGACCGGGTGATACTGGTTGTCGCTGCCGAGGAAGTACAATTGGTCTTGGTCTCCGCCCTGGAGCCTGTAGTAGCCATTGCCGGCAGCCACGTACACCGGTGCCGCAGCGGCAGCCTTCCCCTTCTTAGCAGCTCCTGAAGACATGTTGATAAACGGGCCGGCCGAATAATCTGATAAAGAGGTAGGTAATGAAGAAGGAGGAGTGGGAAGTGGTTGAAGTGAATGAGATGTGAATGAGTGATTCGAGGACCTAGACTCAAAGACTGTCCTAGTTATATACTTGAATTCCCGAAGGCTATCTCCGCTGTTGATGGTCATATCTCAAGGCCCTCCTCAATTTTGCCTTTTTGGGACCTGAAACCGCCCGCCCGCGGCCTCCAGGTCGCGTGCCATAAAGACCGTCGGAAGTTGGACGGATGTCAGGTCGGGCTGCGGACATGATCCTTTGCCGCGGGACTTAACTGTGCCTCTCTAACGTCTTGGTGCATCAAGGCTTCACTAGACGCGCCCTAGGTCGGCTGCGTGTTCGACCGCGCCCCATAATACCCGCTATTCATAGCGAGAAGATCCGTCTCAGGCAGGCAGTAGTGCAGAAACATGGGGCGACTGGGCCAACGGCGGCCGGGTTCTGTTCATGTCCCGGGGGCTTGGTTGACCACGTTTTGACCTTGGCTGGGTCAACCCCTGGTACCGTCTGGTCCCTAGTCTCTAGCGAGGCGGGAGGTGCGGCAGGACTAATTAGGTATTTTGTTTCAACCTGCCGGAACCTGGGCCACGTGAGCCTCGAACTTGAGAGCCGGTTAGGGCTGCATAGCTTGGCCGAACTGCCATCTCCATAACCCGAGATCTGCGCGCCGTTGACAAGGCGTTATCCCTGTGGCTTGGGTTGGCCAAGAGACCCGAAACCCATGGGTTACGCAAGTAGGAATGTATGCTACGTAGTGTATACAGACTTGTAAAAAGAATGAAACAAGTTACACCAGTCCTGCCACTAGGCTGCCCAAATAAGTAAGTTTTCGAGGCACATAAGGCCAGGCCGACCCGAGATAGTGAAACTCGTGACGTAGACCAACGTGGTGAAGTTAGATCCTTGATCCATACTGTGCACGGATGGGTTACACAATATCAAGATGAAAGCGGCGGACGGATGCGGTGGAAACGTGAAGGATGCTGCTCGAAGGCCAGACTTGGCGGATCAACGAATGCTTTGTCCGATAGCCGGATGTGCCGTACGGAGTTGTGGGGCCGGGAGTGTACCTAGATGTGCCGCATCGGCGTTTTGCTGTTTCGGACTTTTTCCCGAGCCACGGCCCGTGATGACCGACGACCAGCCAGGTTCAGGTAGCACACATTGTTTAATCTCGCACACGATTCCGGTAGCCTAGTTCTGGCAACCTAGTGCCGGTCCGAGGGGTCGGTAGAGGCGCGAATTCGGAATCATCTTAAATTCCCGCCCCCGTGGCTCGGGAAGCTTGTCAGTAAGGGATGGAGCACTGGCCGCCGTGCCGCTTCCCAAGACCCAGCGTTCCCCATTGCCCAAGCAGCCTGGAAAGATTCCAAACAGGCGCCAGCAAGAACGGTTAACGGTACCTAAAAATAGAGGCAACCTACATCTTTGACCATCTCTAACATGCACCGCCTTTTTAGGACAAAATAGTTCAAAACAGCTTCATGATTCGGTCTCGACGAGTGGCCAAGTTGTGGTCACCTTGCTCCATCAGTGCATCCATCCAAAAGTTAATCACCCCCAATCAAGCTAGCACCTTCATTCCGTTGCGAAACATCGCATATTCTAGCATCGCCCGCGCAGTTGGCAAAATGAGTAGCAGCACGACGCCCGAAGTCCAGTCCACCATGGCGGCCAAGGGCTCAGAGCCCTGGGGAAAGAATCCCTATTACTTCTATCCCGATCCTTATGCCGCGTACATGGTTCATGAAAGTCTCTACAACTATCGGCCAGGAGGCTTCCACCCCGTAAACCTCGGCGACACGCTTCAGGATGGCCGTTACGTGATCCGCCACAAGCTCGGGTACGGTGGATTTTCAACCGTCTGGCTTGCACGAGACACACAGGAGGGGTATGTGTCCCGTCTCAAAAAACAATTTGAGCCCTATGCTGATAAACTCCACACAGCCAATGGGTCTCCATCAAAATCAAAACGGCCGAGGCGTCGACAGAGACACCAGAACAAGACCCAGAAGCCAAGATCAGCTTGGACCTAGAACGCCACTACAGCTCATCAGCCCAGGCTGAAGAGAAGCCAAGATGCTTTGCACGCCTCCTCGACTGCTTCCGCGTGACCGGCCCCAACGGCACTCACAACTGCCTCGTTACCGAGCTCCTCGGACCCACCGTCGACGAAGTGCTCGAGACCTTCAAAGAAAACAGCCTCACCCTCCGACCCGACACCATCCTCCGCGCATCCCGACAACTCCTTGACGCAGTCGACTTCATCCACCAAGCAGGACTCGCACACGGCGGTACGCACCCCCCTTCCCCCACCACCAAACCCACCCCAAAACTAACCCCCCCACTCCCCCCCCACCCCCAGACCTCTCCTACACCAACGTCGCCTTCACCTGCAAATCGGCCGCCGCCTCCGAAGAAGACCTGATCGACGCCATGGGCGGCGAGCCGGCGACGGTGGCGGCCGAGGCCGGCGCCGACGCGCCCCTGCCGCCCAACCTGCCGCGCCACATGGTGCAGGCCACCGGCTGGCCCTCGTGGTTTGAGGAGGTCGACGAGGATATCTGCGTGCTGGACTGGGGCTTGGTGTTTCCCAGGGGGGAGCGGCTGGCCGAGTTGGCGCAGCCGAAGACGCTGAGGGTGCCGGAGACGTTTTTTTGGGAGGGGGGGTTTGATTGGAGGGTGGATTTGTGGAGGGCGGGGTGTGTGGTGAGTGGTTTTCCTTTTTCTTTTCTTTTTTTTCTTTTCTTCTTTTTTTTCCGAGTGATGATTTGTTTGATCTTTCTGAGTTTCTGACGTGGGTTTGGATAGATTTACGGCTTGTTCTACCAGAAAGAGCTTTGCCGGTATGGCGGCAGGGAGAACTTGCTGATTCATGAGCTGGTCATGAGGCTGGGGCCGCTCCCTGCGAACTGGCAAGCAAAGTGGGACGAGATGCTGAAAAACGACCCAGACGCGGGAGAAGATGGTATGTTATTTGAGTGGCCATTCCTACCTGACATCATGATTGACGAGTACATTTAGCATCCGTCGTCCCACCCGACCAGGTCACGGAAACCTTCGAGCCCCGTCGTCGCGCCATCATGTCGGCGTGCGCTAATGATGAACAAAACGAGTACGAGGAAGATGAGCATACACCCCGCGACTACGAGGGGCTCGAGTGCCTGAAGCGGGTCATTCTGGGCCTTTTGCAGTACGAGCCGGAGAAGAGGGTGGGGGCTAATGTGGCCTCGTCGTGGATAACCGAGGCATGGACAGACCACCGGAGGCTAGAGAGGGAAGCAGAGGGTGACGAAGAGGGCGAGGATGATGAGGACGAGGATGATGCGGTAAATTCAGAGGTAGACGAGTGAGGTGTCGAGCCTAAGACGGAGTGCGTCAAAACTGGGGTTGCTTACTGGTTGGGAACCCGCATCTACTCCTCACGTCTGTGCCCATACTACCTACCTATATACCCTCGGGTATCATGGTTATGTCACTTTCGGCATCTCATTTACCGAGATACCGCCCGGTACAATAATTAGCCACCTTTGGTAGCTTATTCCCCAACTTAATCTATCCCATCTAAGATGCCGATGAGACCTCCCAGGTTAAGCGTTACTTTCCGCCCTTCCCCTCAAACTAGAGAAACTGTATAAAGTCTGTTGTTGTGCAACCTATTGCTCGAGATGGTTCAACCTAGACGTATTCCACCATAGAAGGTGACATTACGACGCTATTATTCCCAATATGCAGCCCATTCTAGCGCTTCTAGCGCTGTTCAGCATCGGCAGCGCTGCTCCAAGCTTAGAATCCACGCAGGATGATATGTCCAAACGCGCGGCATGGCCTAACGGCCCTTTTGTGACCTCGGGCCGTTGGATCCACGATGCGTCCGGTAAGAATTTGACCTACGCAGGCACTAACTGGCCCGGACACGCCGACGTGATGATCCCAGAAGGTCTCCAGTACCAATCAATTGAAACCATCGTTCAGAAGGTCAAAAGCCTCGGCATGAACGCCGTGCGCCTGACGTTCGCCATCCAAATGGTTGACGAGATCTACGCCAATGGTGGCCAGGACATCACCATCCAAAAAGCCTTTGTGCAAGCCTTGGGACAGACCAACGGTGCGAAGGTGCTCAACCAGGTGCTGGCTAAGAACCCCCGCTTCAGCGCCACGACGACGCGGTTGCAGGTGTTTGACGCCGTCGCCGGGGAACTCAACAAGCAGCAAATCTACGTCCACCTCGACAACCACATATCCAAGGGCATGTGGTGCTGCGGCAGTACCGACGGCAACAGCTGGTGGGGCGATACCTACTTTTCGACCTCCAACTGGGTGCGCGGGCTGTCCTACATGGCCGAGCATGTATGTGTTTCCCACCATTACCCCTTTCTCTTGTTTATCGTCAGTGAATAAGAAATAATACTGAGTAACCATATTAGGGCAAATCCTGGCCGGCGCTAACCTCCATCGGCCTGCGCAACGAGCCGCGCGAGCCCACCAACAACCCCCCGCTCAGCCGGTCCTCCTACAACTGGCAAGCCTGGTACGGCTTCATGCGGCAAGGCGCCGACGCCGTGCACGCGGCCAACCCCTCCCTGCTGATCTTCCTCTCGGGCCTCTCCTTCGACACCTACCTCACGCCCGTCGTCCAGGGCACGGCCCTGACACCCGGCAACGGACGGTTCAACCGCAACGACTTCGCCGGGTACGGCGACACCAAGCTGGTGCTGGAGCTGCACAACTACGAGACGGGCATCGGCAGCTGCGCCACGCTGCAAGGCAACCTGGACCGCAACGGCTTCGAGGCGCTGCAGGCCTCGGGGGCCGGCGCGTTCCCCGTCATGATGACCGAGTTTGGCTTTCAGATGGACGCCAGCACCTGGCGGGGGGTGTATGCGAGCTGCTTGGCGCAGTACCTGCCCGCGCGCAAGGCGGGCTGGGCGATTTGGGTGCTGGCGGGGAGTTATTACATGCGGTCTGGGACGCAGGATTATGATGAGAATTGGGGGTTGTTGAATCATGATTGGAGTGGTTGGCGGAGTCAGAGTTATGTGGATGGGGCGTTGAAGGCCATGGTGAGGAATACTTTGAGTTGAGAAGAAGATATGATTAGGGAGGCACCTGGCTGGAAATCAATAGTTCAGAATTTTGGTTGAGTTGAGTTACTGCTTCACACCCATGAGCCGAAGACAGGAAGCTTTGTGCAGTCACCGAAATGACATGGAAGGTAGAACCCAAAGAAGAAAAGATCTGAAAAAGGTGCCGAACACGAGTCACAGCAAACATCGGCGAATACAGATAAGACAGTGCACAAAATGAATCTCCCAACGGACATATATTCGGGAGGGGACGAGGGGTATTACGAGCATGAATAACGATGGACATTCTTCGCCCCCATCTCACCCCTCTGCGCCAAGGTGGATTGGAATCTTGTTCCCCTTTTCAGTTGATCACAGACTCGGAGACTGTGGATTTCCGGACAGTAAAGTTTCTATGATGCTTGTAACGGCTGCTCTCACGTTATTGAACGTACGAGCAGTGCTATGCCAGCTATCCCCATGTGTACAAAGTGGTAAACATCGCATTCCATCTTGGGCAGGACCTGGTTGTGCATTCTTTCCACCCCGCAAGGCTTCCCCTGCTCGCAGGCTTGCCTTATCTGGAACTTTTAAGTCTTAGCGCGCCGAGAACCATCGAGATGGTCTTTCTTGGCGGATTTTGCGGCGTAGTCGGTGGATTCGTGGCTGCTCCCCTCCTCCTGTTCCTGGACTAGCTCGGTCTTCCCAAATGTTTGCTCCCTCATCGATGCGAATCTTTTCCTCGTGATCCAACGGGGCCGCGGACGAGCCCGGTCCGGACTATCTCGGGCCATGGAAGCTCGGAAAAGTGGGAGGCGTCTGGACAAGGCATCAGGCGAACCATGACTCCCTGCCTGAATTACCTAAAGAAAGCGAACGAAGACTCGATGTTCCAGCGCGACAAGTCCGAATCCGCCGTGGCGGTGTCACTCACAAGCTAGTGCCACCACCGCCGTCGCCGTGCGTTTCACATGCCCAGCCCAGACTGGCACCAGGCTCCCAGGTAATCTCATCTGACCCACACCGCGCCGCGCTTGAATCCCTGTCTGCCGCTTCTCTCCCCACGAGGGATCCAGGACACTCCGGCGTCCTTGTCTCGTCCTGGCCGCGGTTACTTGGACTTCCCAGGAACAACAACCGAAGGGCCTCGACCACAAGTGCCGCGAGCACCCGTCCCGCGGTGCCTCTTGACGAGGTCCTCCTCCGGTCGTCTCATTTTTTTGTCGTAGCCAGCATGGTTGCATGGGTACCGCTCCCATCATGTTGACATTTCTTCTACCATGTCTTCTGTTAGTCTCATACAGCTTCGTCGAGGCCCTGTCACCCATCTCAGTGAAGGGTACGAAGCTGTATGACGATGATGGAAACCAATTCTTTGTCAAAGGTGCCGACCCCTTTACGGCGTAGCTCATGCCGAACCTCACTCACCATTCTCCCATTTAGGTGTTTCCTACATTCCCACCGATGGCGACTACGATCCCCTGTTACATGTGGAACAATGCCGGACAGACGCAGCGTTGATGAGCAAGGCCGGAATCAACACAATCTACGTGTACACAGCCGACGCTGCGGAAGACCACGATGCTTGCATGAGAGTCTTTGCCGACCAGGGCATCTACGTCTGGCTTCAACTAGGCGACTTCCCCCGCGTCACCAGCGAGGTACGCCGAATGTCCCCTGTTCAGTCTGTCCCCTCATGTTAACCCGATCAACAGACAGCAAAGGCTCCCCAGTGGACCCTGTCCCTCTTCGCCGCGTGGACCGAAGTCCTCGACACATTCGCCGGCTACAACAACACGCTCGCCTTTGGAATCGGCCAGGAAACCATCAACGAAAACTGTCCGCCCCCCCCTGCTCCCCATCCTCCCCCTTCTCACACAAAACAATGGTAACCCCCTAACACCCCCCAGCAACCTCCACCCGCGTCGCCCCCGCCCTCAAAGCCGCCGCCCGCGACCTGCGCGCCTTCCGCACCGCGCGCGGCTACCGCGCCATCCCGCTCGCCTACTCCGCCGCCGACGTGCCCGAACTGCGCCTGCTCACCGCGCAGTACCTCACCTGCGACCCCTCCCCCTCCTCCACCCCCGACAACTCCAACTCCAACCCCACCTCGATCGACCTCCTCGGCCTCAACATCTTCAACCCCACCTCCTGCACCGCCACCGCCTGGGCCACGCTGCGCGACCAGCTGCGCTCCCTGCCCCTTCCCATCCCCGTCGTCATCTCCGAGTCCGGCTGCCTGCCCGCCTCGGGCAAGCGCACCTTCAGCGACCTCGAGCAGGTCCTGCTGGGCGGGCCGTCCTTCGAGCAGGTCTTTTCCGGCGCCAGCGTGTTCCAGTGGGCGGAGGAAGGGGAGGGCCACGGGTTCGGGCTGGTGCAGTATGATGCCGGTGGTGGTGAGGGCGGGGAGGGGCCGCAGGGGGGCAATGGCGCGCCGACGAAGGTGCTGCCCGCGTATACGGCGCTGTCGAGCGTTTTTAATGAGGCGAGGACGAGGGTGACCGGGACGGTGGCGGGGCGGTATACCCCCGCTGGGGGGGAGCGGTTGGCGTGTCCGACGCTGGATGTGGATGCGGGGTGGTTGGTGGATGGGGAGGCGCCGTTGCCGACGATTGACGGGTTGCAGATTGGGACGGTGACGGTTAAGACAACGGTGGTGACGGCGGGGGGCGGGAGGGCGACTGGCGGGGTTGGTCAGGGGCAGGAGGGGGGTCAGGGACAGGGACAGGGACAGGGACAGGGACAGGTTGGTGGTGGTAATGATGGGGGGCAGTTGTCGACGGGGGCGATTGCGGGGATCACGGTTGGGTGTGTGATTGGGGTGTTGGCTTTGGTGACAGGTGTGTTGGTTTGTCTTCGACGGCGGAGGGGAGGACCTCAACCGCCGAGCGAGGGGGAGGGTATGCAGGTCGTTGAGCACTTCAAGCGGCCACGGAGCTACTGGTATCCTACCGGCAAGGTTGAGCTGCCGGCACAGAACATGGCAGCTATCGAGATGGATGGCTCCTTACGATCGGCCTCGTCCTCGGCCCCGGTGTGGAAGATACCAATGCAGGATGGGAGAATCGATTCGCCAACGGTGACAGAGATACACGACATGAAATGGAGACAGGAACCGCAGTATGAACTGGCGGATAATAATATGGTCCCCATGGGAGATGGCACGCAGACTGGGACATGGAGGGTTTCACCGCTCACCCCAGGCACTAAGTATGTATGAAGATGGGGGGGAGGAGTGAGCGAATTCAACAGCATCCTGCACCGGTGCCGGTGCTTAAAAGTACATTTTACGAATCAAATTATTTCAATTGTTGACACTTCGCATGCTAGATATCCATGAACCCAACCCCTTGCCACCAATTGTGAGTGCTTCCATTAAGATGGGTTGGTGAAGACTTGAGGCCGGGGTCTTGTGCTTCATCATACCTAGGTATCTAGCAACACATCCGTAAATGTAAGAAGTAATACATGAGGAGGCAATCTTGCCTAAAAGTTCTATCACAAGTGGAATGTGTTAACCATTGAATTCAACGGGCACCACGTAGCTAGCGCTGCTAGCGATAAATAGGGGAAAGTAGGAACGGGTGGCGTTTGATTCAATTGTAATAGCCAACAAGGCAAATTCATAGCGACCACAATGAAAAGGACGGAGGGCATAAAAGTGAAATCCAACATTCTTTGTCACTCTGGTGGAGGTTCAAAATCAACCGGGGAACCGCCCAGTATTAGTCGATGGCGTGATCAACGGAGCAGATGATGCCCACCGTCTCCAGCCCAAACCCCCTCGGCACCCAATTTAACCCGGGTCGTGATCTCCCACATTGATTTGCCGCCTGCGGAGCAGTACATCTTCTAGAGAGGGAAGCCAAGGACGTGCATCCCGGCCATCGGCGATCATGACATCTCGAAACCTGCGTGGGGGTTCCCAAGGGCTGGGGCGGCGTCAAGAGCTGCGCCTGCAGGTCAAGAACGAGGCCAATGGATTCAATGAACTATGATGGCGCAATATGAGCGGCGTTTTGTGTCTCAGCAGAAGTGGGTTGTCAAGAGAAGCTAAGGTAGGCTGAAGGGGGTTAGAGATGGTTGCCACCTGTTGCCATTATGGTTTATCTTGGGGCGGTTGGCAAAGAATTCGAGGCCGGTTGGGATGGAATTATCCATCCACGAGTCAAAATCATGGGCGGTACATCCTTCCTTCGCCGTGTTTCTTTGCACGGGTTTCGAGGGTCAAGCTCGAACCAGAAACTTGACGAGCCAAAGCGTGAACTCGACGACCAAATACCGGATACCGCCCCAATAACCCCAGAGACCCAAACTGTTCTCTTGTTACACGGAGCACGTCAACCGTATCAGTTGACGGAGAACCATCCGGTTCCTTCTTTCAAGGATGACCGAGAGATACTCGTCCGGACGCAGGCCATCGGCCTGAACCCGATGGATTGGAAGGCCCCGTGAGTACCTCGTTTCCCTTTTGCCCAGCCTCTTTCAAGCTTATCCCTTGTTCTGACACCGCAGGAAGTGACTTTAACTTTGGCATCCCAGAAGTACCCTACATTTCTGGCCGGGAGTTGGCCGGTAATGTAGCAAAGTTGGGCCGGTCTAGTCGACACAAAGTAGGAGACAGGGTAAGGAGGACATGCTTCATGTATGATGTAACCCCCTGTTCACTCCTGCTTACCAAACAAACAAAACCTTAACTAGGTCATCGTCATATCAACCGACTACCGAGACCTCCGCAAAGCGGCCTACCAACAATACGTGGTAGCCCCCGACTACAACACGGTCCGCCTCCCACCGACCCTCTCGCCCGAAGAGGGTTCCTCCCTGGGGGTAGCCTTCGTCGTCGCCGCCATCTCCCTCGGCGTGTGCATCGGGCTCGACTTCACCTCAGTCCTCAACGGCCCCGACCTGTACACCCTCATCCGCCAGCTCCCACCCGACACCCTCGCGCAGGACATCCAAAAAGAAGCCCTCCACAGCCTCCCAGCCCACGAGCGCGCCCAACCAGGCGACTGGCTCGCCATCTGGGGCGGTAAGCCTCCTCCCTCCCACACCCAACCCCCCACCAGCCAGCCACCAAACTAACCCCCCCTCCTCCCCCCATCAAAAAAAAGGCTCATCCACCTCCGCTCACCTCACCCTCCAACTCGCGCGCCTCGCCGGCCTGCGCACCATCGCCGTCGCCGACAAAGCCAAGCACGGGCTCTGGCTGTCCAGCCACAAGACGGTGCGCCCCGATCTGCTAGTCGACAGCCACGACCCAGCACGGGCGGTGGCCATCATCCGGGCCAACGTCCAGGGGACGGCGGGGAGGACGCTGCGGTTTGCGGCCGATACGCGGGGGCGGGAATCGGCGGGGTGGTTGTTGGAGGCGTTGCAAGAGGAAAATGAGGGGGGGAAGGGGGGGAAGGGGAAGGCGCCGGCGGTGCCGGGAAGTTCCACACCGCCGTCGGTTCCGGTTCCAATTGCGGCCAGTGAAGCTGGAGACGGCTCCGCGTCCGCGTCTGCGGCCGAACAACCCCCGGCCCGGCTTTCCGCGCATCTGATCGGCCTGACGGGTCTGCCTAAGCAGCCCGCCCCTGACGGCGTGGTATATCATACCGTGCCGATCAAGCTGTTTCATGAGGTGCCGGCGGTGGGCCAGGCGCTGGTTGAGTGGTTGGAGAGGCTGCTGCAAGAGGGCCTTGTGACGCCGCCGAATATTATTGATGTCCAGCTGGGGCTGGGGAGTGTGAATCAGGGGTTGGATCGGATGAGGAGAGGCGAGATTAGTGGCGGAAAACTGGTTGTTAGGATTGACTGACTGAGCTGTCGGTCTTCAGCATGGTTGAGAAGTTTCGTTTCTCTTGTTGTTGGCATGTTCCCCCGGCACGGTAACTTGCGATGTAGCTCATGGAGGGCATTGGACAAAAGACATCATTATACTGCCCTATCTCCTCCATTCGTATCGTTGCACCGTCCAAACCAACACCCGGTATTACATTAACCAAAGCAAACTCCGCCCCTTACCAGCCCCGTACCCCTTACCAGAAGCAACAACCCGACCCCTCCTCACCCATCATCATCACCCTTCATCACAACTTTAAAAACTATAGTACCTCGGCTCATCAAAGACATGGTACTGGTGCCCCCGAACACCCTCACCCTTGAACATAGCGGGGAAGCGCAGCCCCTCCGAGACCTCCTCCTCGGGGATGCGGCGGTTCCGCAGCGTCTTGGGCGCGTTCCACGTCGACGCGCTGTCGGAGTCGGTCGCGGGCACCACAAACTTGGCGACCTGCAGCTCCGTGTCGGTGATGGTGCTCCTGCTGACGCGGGCGTACCCCGTGCGCCGCAGGCCCTTGAACAGGATGTACTCGCACCAGCGGTCGTCGTCGGTGGGGTCGACGTCGTGCATGCCGCTGATGTCGGACACGTACGTGTTGTAGTTCCCCTCAAGCGGGTTCGTCACCAGATAGGAGAGCAGGATGCTCGGCCGCGGCGATGAGCCCATCAGCTTGGCGAGGTACTCCGACTGAAGACGGCGGTCTTCCGGGTCCTCTTCTTGGCCCGAGTGGAAGACGAAAACGTCGACGAGGGAACCATACACGTCCAGTGTGGCGTGGATGGCGGGGGCGAGCTCGCCGACGGGGCTGGGAAGAAGGTGGTGGGTCGAGTTGAGGATGGGGAACTTGGAGAGGAGAGCGGCGCCCCACGTGTGCTTGTTGGGGCCCGGGCCGTAGTCGACGTACATGCCGAGGTCTTCAGCGAGGAACTGCGTCGTGTCACGGTTGCCCATGATGATGCGCTGTAGGTCTGACTCGAGGAGGCCGACCACGTCAACTTCCAGCTCTTTGATGAGGTCGCGCATGCGGTACTCGGACGACCACATGTCGTTGTCAAGTGAAAAGTGGATGGTCCAGATACCGGCGGTCAGAACACGGTCCTCTGCGTGGTACGGTTTGTAGTCGTTGGTGGGAAAGCGGAGGAAGTTGGCGCAGAGGAAGAGAACATTGAGGATGCCCAGCGCGCCGAGGTGATACTTGCGATGGTTGGTGTTGGTGGCGCGACGAGGGGCAGCCTGCTTGGATTTGGCTTGCTGCGAGATGAGGTCGAAGACGCCGGCGCCAATCAGAAGCATCATGGTCATGTTGACCCAATCCGTACGTTCGCGGACGAGGGGGCCGCCAGGCACAAAAGCGTAAGCGACAACCCAAACATGGAAGAGGACCACGAAGTTGTAGATCAAGAAACCAAGGCCGAAGACGACGGCGGGGCTCTTTTTCGAAGCGCTGCTGATGAGGGGGACCGAGATCGCCATGAGGTAAGCAGCCAGCGCTAGAGCGCCGTAGTAGCCAAGCCACTGATGGTAGAGGGTGAGAACCGCGGCACCCACGCAACCTACGCCATAGGCAGTCCATGTCGTGACGAGCGCCGGCCTCGAGAACCCCGCGAAAACGCCGGCAGTCATGGCGGCAATGGTGTACCACGCGTGGACGTTGGAAACAGGACCCCTGATCGGGTAGCCGTCCCAGACCCACAGGATCATGGTGCTAGTGTCGGAGAGTAACGAATGTAGGCCAAAGAATAGGCCGCCAATGCCGAAGGCGGAGAGCAACGCGGACCCGCCCTTGGCTTCAACGGGGTGTCCGCCCTGCAGAGGGGCGTGGCGGGTGAACCGAAGGGTGGCAAGGACGGCAAGGACTAAACCGGTGCCATTCCAACCGCCGTTCGCAGCGTGCATAATGGGCCAAATGGGGTTGTTGGTGTACCAGGCAAACTTGGCGACAGAGGACATGAGTAGACCGATAACCCAAGCGAGAACACGCATCTCCAGCCTCGCAGGCTGTACTGAGTCGGAGAACAGGGTGGCCGCCCATCCAAGGCATGTTAGCGAGACGCCGAGACCGACGGCGAAAAGCCGGCAGGTAGGATCCTCGATCAAGTAGGCAACTAGACCAGAGAGCGAGAGAAGGTGGACGACACGTTGGTTTTTAACGACAAGAGAACGGAATGGCTTGATGGCGAGGAATGCTGGGGCCACCGTGGTCATGATGAGCGCCTCGAAGCCCGAGATGCCCATGTGCCAGAGGGGGAAGTCTAGCTAAGGTTAGGCCAGTCGAGCAGATAGGGGAAGGCCCACTTACACCAAACGGTGACGCCCAAGCTGGTCAGGATAGACCAGAAGACGAACTACCAAACATTAGGCTGGGTATTTCCCCTTTCTGTCGTCGGAGCACATACCCCGTGGTAAACATCGGCCGCGATGTCAAGGGCCTCGCTCAAGCGAAAGCCCGCCGAAAAGACGCCTGCTGTAGCCTTCTCCTTCCTACCCAACTTATTAGCCACCCGCCAATACCTGACCGTGCAAAAGGGCCAGGGCCACTTACTCCTTCTCGAGCACGGCAGCAGGCACAGAGGACTTGTTGGCACTAATGAACCCGGTTTTAGAACATGGTCTCATAATGTCATTCAACATGTCGTTGTATGTACAAGCCCCAGCTCGCAAATGTGCGGAGCGAGGGCTACCGCGGAAGCCATTGCACGTACCCCTTGCTCGCGCCCTTGACGTCCCTGATAACCACCTCGAACGTGTCAAAGTCAAGCGCCGTCACAGCGTCGAAGGCAACGTCGAGGAGAATCAAGCTCCATTCGAAAAAGGCGTAAATCGTGTAAGCTAGACTTGATGTCAACATTGCGCCCCCGTCTGTCAAAGCTGATATCCGACTTACCCCCCGCCACACGGTGGACCTTGTGCTGGATAAAGAAGTACACCAACGGTACGAGGGTACCAAAGAAACCGCCGGCCAAGTATTTCCTGTACTTGATAGCCTTGGCGTTTGCCGGGCTCAGGGCAATGCACCCGGTCGTCCAGGGAATCGTGAAGACAATGTACGCAATCATCAATATGTCGTGCCAGTCATGGTCGTCGGTCGAAGTGATGTAAGTCCACCCGCCGCATGTCAAGGTGCGGATCACGCCGGAAATGGCGATCACTTTCGGGAGAGTGCGGCCGGGTTTCGCGGTGAGCAGATACCAGAGCCCGACGAGCGCAAATCTTGGCCCTGTGGTGGGTTGGTCGTCAGCAATGCCATCACAGCGGAGGACAAGCAAGGGTTCGCGATGGGCGTACCGGAGGTAATGGCGATAAAGATCATGAAGATGGAGCGTTCGGGATAGCGGTCGCCAATGGTGGCCGAGACGGAGGGGAACCACTCGTCCGGGTAGCCATACCACTCGTTCTGGACAATCTTGTGGTAGTGCAACGCGGAACCCACGATGAGGGCGCTCAAGAAAGCAACTGCAACGGCGTCAACATCTCGATCAACATGTCGGCGCTCCGTGTTGAATTAGGCCCCGGGCATGACCATGCGTGCTACCCACGATAGGCAACGGCAGTGTGCGACCAGCTCACCCACTGGCCGCTGAAGGAGAGTACGACGCCGGCGTCCTTGTCTTTGTAGCGAGGAGCCGCCATGGTTGCGGAGCTACCGGAGGAAAGAAGATGCCGGGAATTGGAACCAAAAATTAATTATTGTTGAGAGAGAGCTGCAACGAATGACACGCGGGTGCACATTCCAAACGACCACAAGAGCGCCGACTCTTGGTAGCCTTCAAAACAATGAAAAACTGAGACCTTCGCCGAGACCGTCGCCGAGAGCGCGTCAGGGAAAAAGGCGTTTGCTCGACCACTGAAACAGCGCGAAGCTGGCGGAAGCCTCGGCGCGAGAGGATGATCTTGGAATGCCGGACCTCGAAATCATTCCGGCATGGACCCCACTTCCCTGCCCGTCCGTTGCATCCAATTCTGGGTGCGAGCTCCCTGCGTTTTGGGCTTGTGCTGACGGCCAGGAGTGGGTTAGGCGGTGAACAAGAGCAGTAAGTTTAAGGTCCACTAAAAAGTCCCAATGTCTGTCGCTCGTCAAAGTTGATTCTATAGCTTCATGGCATGATCAACCCTCCAATAAACTCAGCGGCACCCACTCTTCATTGTACCGCAGCAATGGCCGGAGTCTCGGACAAAGCCCGTTTCCACCTCGAACGCGCAGCTCCTGAGCTGCGCGAATTTGAAGAAAAGGAAATTTTTCACCAAGGTATGCCCTTCCCATCCCCTCCACTCCCCTCCGACCACCACCACCACCATCATCAACAACTAACCTCCCCCCCCACAGGACGAGATCCGCTCCCTCGTAACCAAACGCTCCGACTTCGAACACCTGATCCTTTCCCCGGGCACCAAGCCCACCGACTTCCTCTCCTACATCTCCTGGGAGCGCTCCCTCGACCGACTGCGCGCCAAGCGCTGCCGCCGCCTCAACCTCTCGCGCTCCTCCTCCTCGCGCGCCAGCCACGCGCGCACCTTTGGCATCTTCGAGCGCGCCGTGCTCAAGCACCCGGGCTGCGTGCCCCTGTGGCGCGCCTACCTGGACTTTGCGGCGCACGAAGCGGGTGCTGCGAAGCGCTGGCGCCGGATTTGTACAAGGGCGTTGAGGCTACACCCGACGGATGCGGGGCTGTGGGTGCTGGCGGGGCGGAGGGCCGCAATGGCGGGGGATATGGAGAGGGCGAGGGCGCACTTTTTGAGGGGCTGTCGGTTCTGTACGGGGGATGTGGTGCTGTGGGTGGAGTATGCGAGGTGTGAGATGGAGTGGTTGGCGAGGGTGGAGGCGAAGAAGGCGGGGAAGGGGGTGCGGAAGGGGGTGAATGTTATGGAGGCGGTTAAGGCGACGGAGGCGGTGCAGGAGGGGGATATTGTGCTGTTTGATGAGGAGGATGAGGATGATAGTGGGGATGAGGGTGGGCTGATGCTCCCGGATCCGGATGCGCAGGGCGGGAAGATGGCGAAGGCCGAGGTTTTCGACGAGGAGGCGACCAGGAAGATGGAGCAGAGCCCTGCGCTGAGCGGCGCCATACCAATGGCCATTTTTGGCATTGCGAAGAAACAACCCTTCTTTGGGCCTGCCGCGGCCGAGACGTTTTTCGACGCCTTTGCTGGGTTTGGTCACGTCTCATCACAGGCGAAGATCGTCCAGCATGTCGTTGACACGATGGTTGAGTTGTTCCCCAACCACCCATGCACTTGCAGCTGCCAGATCCGCCAGCCGCTCGTTGGGGTGGATGTTCTTACCGCTGCGTTCCCCAAGGCGTTGCGCGAGTCGTTGGCTAGGTTGAAGGTTGGCATGGAAACGACACAGGACAAGAAGGAGCTGGCGAACAAGGTCGTTGCTTGGACCGACGTTATCCTGGCGATCGAAGGTCTGGATGCGGCCGTCAAGACGGTGCTGGAGCATACGAAGCGGTCACTGGAAGACTCCACATCTTGATACCCATATTCCTAGCGCATTATCCTACATACAATACAACACCCCGTGGCAGTGTCCCCAAATATCCCATCTATCTCCATTCCTATTTTGTCTAAGCTCTCTCCTCTGCCACGCCCATCAGGTACTCCCACTCAGCCGGACTGACCCTGCTGACGCTCAGCCGCGACTGCTTGAGCATTTGCATGTTCTCGAGCGGCTTGCCGGGCCCTCCCATCTCTCGCAGTTCCTTGAGCCCAATCGAAGCCGAGAACTTGCTCCGGAACTTGACGTGTACGACGCTCCACTTGGGATCGTCTGGCTTCGACTTTGGGTCGTAGTAAGGCGCCTTTGGATCGTGTGCAGACACTGGGTTTCATTAGATTTCCGCGGACTACTTGCGCAGAGGTCGATTAGCTTACGATCGGGCGAGTGCTCCCGCACAATTTCCATGGTCCCTACGATGCCGGGCTCCTTGCAGTTGGAATGGTAGAAGAAGGCCAGCTCCCCTTTCTTCATGGCCCGCAGATTGTTCCGGGCGGCGTAGGCGCGAATGCCTGCGTCGTGGTTAGATTATGTTACAGGATGGTGTGGCCAAGGAGGGATGGCTTTACCGTCCCACGGCTCTGGCTCTTTCTTGGCCGCCAGATCATCAATGGAGAACTTGACATCGACGCCATTCTCAAAACGCGACTCCGGTTCAGCTTTCAAGAGCCCAATAGTTCCTCTCCTCCCCTGCGGCTGCAGTTTCGTTGGAGGCTGAAACATTATCGTTTGACTCTACTCCTTGAGTGCCGTTTGTTTTTTCTACAGGTGCTCCCTTTTTGGTCGTGGTCGGCTGTTTTATATGTTAGACTTGGGCTTGATCGGGTTCGGTGTGATCGCGCTGAGAAAGATGAACCTCGGCCACGACGCCATCCAGGGGATGGCTGACAGGACATGGCATTTTACGGGATTCCCACCTTTTTAGCCACTGGTTTTGCTACTGCTGTCTTCGCTGAGGCCTTCAGTTTGTCTTTCCTCGGTTCTGGCTGTGTCGCTGGAGGCGTTGCATCAGTTGGTTTTTGGAGTCGCACTGAGCGTCGCGGTGTTGGTTCAACCAATGAGTCATCTTCGGGTGGTGATTTCCTTTTTGCCATGACGAATCGATTTTGCAATGTCGCGTTCCAAAGCCCAAGACGCGGAGGAATTATTGTTGGTGAGCACCAAACCGGTATGCTCGCCAAGACGAACCAAACACGGGCAGTGTGGATGGGCAGTGTGGATGAGAGAGATTGACCTGGCGCTTTTTGGCCAAAAAAAGCCGCCGAAAGCTTGGACTAAAAGCACGAAAAGAAAGCCATTCAGAAGACGAAAGTCGACTTTCTACTTTATTCGGTTTCTTTTTATTTGGTTAGCTTTTCTCGGTTTTCCTTAAGTTACTTCTTTTTCTCTTCCCGTTTTTCTTTTATGCTTCTTTTCTTCATTCCCTTGACCTCGTTTCTCTTCTTTTTGAGTTCGGCTTTTTTTTGGACCGGCGGGAGTCCTGGAACTGGTCGGGATGTTACGTTTTGGGGCAGGGCGATCATCATGGTCATATTTTTCCTTCGTTAATGCCTTCCTATCGCTCGTGAATCCTACATATTAATCTCGACTTCGCTTGTCATCTTGATTTATGTCGGGTTAATGGCTCTAGGGTCCTATGGTTGATTGTGATCCCTAATAGGATGTTGGGTAATGATCGTTAAGAGTATGCCAGGACGACGTCCTGAATGTGCCTGCAATTAATAGATTGTCTTTGATGTATTAATGCTCGTTGGGTGAGCATTTGACTTCTTGTTGACGTGTTTATCTTTCT